TCAAAATGATGGCAACTTGAAAAATTCTTTTGAGTCAAGTACAATTTTGAATGTAATGATCGAGTTATATTTGGATCCACTAGGTTAAATAAATCATATTAAGCAAACTCTAACATGGTTTTATGTGAACTTGAGGCCATATAAAAGGCCATGTAATAGGGCCGTGTCAATTAATAATAACAATAGGAACTATATAAAAGGCCATGTAATAGGGCCATGTCAATTAATAATAACAATAGGAACTATGTTAGCAAATTATTTTGTTTTGTTTAAATTTTTATTTTTATTTTTTCTAAAAACTATTGACATATAATTAAATAAAAAATTTTAAAAACATGACATAACATGAGATCATGTTTCTTTATATATATCTATATTTTGACTATGTGGTTTCATGTTTGGTTGTCATTGATGACTCTTTTTAGCATTTACTAGATAGATGATGCACTACACTATGAGCCAGATTAATTTTTTTTTAATGTAAAAAAATGATGCATGGATGATGATAGCATATTTAAAAAAGTTAGAAAAATTTGGGACTCGAGTTATTGATTTGAATTGGTTTAATAATCTTGGTTAATTTAATAATATGATTAAAAAAACCAATGACTAATTAAAAAAAATAACACTTACCAATATTTTGAAAAGATATCCTTTAAATATCCTTAAAAGATCTCAATGATCTTACTTGATAACAAAATAAAAATTAAATGAGAATGAGATAACCTTATAAAGACAAAAATTAAAGAAATCCAAATCTCAATTACCAGCAAAGCAAACATTGAAAAATAAACTGAAAACAAATATCAATTTTAAAAAAGAATAAAAAAAAATCTGACTCAATTCAGCATGTAAAATTTGCAGCCTAGTAGTGAGACTGGGATAATTCCGCACATAAGAAAATTAATAAAACAATAGAGGTCAACTCTCAATCAAACTAAACGAGAAAAGAAAAAATAAAAAAATATCAATATAAAAAAATCTAAAATAAGCTCGAGTTAACTTGACTAATTTACAGTTTAGGATATGAGATCGGGATAACATTACAAAAAGAACAACTAAAAAACCACAAAGCTCAAGGATCAATAACCTAATCTCAAATGATAAAATTAAGAAAATAATTTAAAAAACAACTTAAAAACACACCAAAGTTAAGCTAGTCTAATTTTCAAGAAAATATGTTAAACCTATGACTCAGGTTATGAGACTAAAATTACCACATATAAGGAAAATGAGATAAAATCAAGAAACAAAATTTCTAATAATATAAATTCAAAAATCAAAACAATGAGAACCAAGTATGATATAAAAACTAAATGAAAAAATAATAATGAGGGACTACATTGGAAAATAAAATAAATCAAGAAAGGATTTTAAAATAAAAAAATCAAAATAATAAGGACCACATTGGATTAAAAAATTAAAAAATAAAATGTAGAGAGATAAAATTTAAAAAAAACTTCAAGGTACATTAAAGACAAAACAAATATTAATAAAAAAAATAAAGATCAAAATAGATACAAATATAGACTGACAGGAAAAACTTGATTTTTAAAAGGTTTGAGGTGAAATTCAAGATAAGGAGAGAGGAAAGAGGAACAAAAAGAAAAACAAGTTAATCAGAGCTTAGCTGTTATTCTGTCACGCAAACATGTTTGACCATCAAGAAAAGGATGGCGTGACACTTCCAACACCATTGTCAAAAATAGTGTTTGATCACCAAGAAATATTGCATGCGCTGCCTAAAGAATGCATACACTTCCTACTCATTGATATGCTTGTAGCTTTTATTTATTTAATTTTATTTATATTTTTTAAAGGCTATATTGCTTGTCATTCAAAACTAAAATGTTATGATGAAAAAAAAAATCATAGACATCAATATTATTTTTTTAAGGGAAATATAAAAAACAAATCATGGACATCAATATTATTTTTTTAAGGGAAATATTGTCAATTTATTGCGCAAATAAAGCGTTAAATGATTGAAAATCCCCTAGACTCTAATTTTATTTTTTTTACTTTTAAAAGTATTTAAGTCATTTTACTATGCATCTAAAATACATAAAAACTTATATATCCCTGATTAATATGATAATGATAAATAAACTCTATAAAAAAATCATTTTATCCCTAAATACTAGTTAAATAATTTTGTTTGAGAAGAGAAAAATGGTCATTTACTGTTCCAATTTGCAATAATATGTGTTTATGGTGAAAAGTTGATTTTTTTTATTTGGTGCCTAAGATTATCGATTAACTTTACTAAGTTAAGTTTTAAATTTTTATTTAAAAGTTTTGTTAGTTAAAAAAAAAACCTCAACAATGTTCATATATTCTACTTTTTTAAAATTAAAAATAATTTTTAATTCAGTGCACAATAAAGCCCAAGCACCATAGCTAATAATAATAATTAAAAGAAGTGGTGAATTCATTGTTCACTGTCTTATTTATTAGAATAATGTTTTGTATTTTTTTATTATTTAGTTTTTATTATTGTATTTGTTTAGTTTTATTATTTAATATTAGATATATTGAGAATTGAACTTTATAATTTGTTTTAATTTGTTGTCTGTAGATTATCATGGTATAAAAAAAACATTCAAACATTGAGTTAGTGCTTGATTTTGTAAAAACAAATTGATTTTATTAGATTGAAAATAAGCATACTCAAATTGAAGGTGAAGAAAAATGATAACCTTGTTTTTTTTTTTTTTATGTGGTGTTTGTATTTTTTTGATAAATTTTGTTTTTTATTTTTTATTTTTAATCCCTTTAGTTTGTAATTACATGTTTCTCTTTCAAATCTCAATCCTTGAATTTGAAAGAGAAAAAAGAGTCATCAAAAAATGATGGAGGGGAGAGAGAGAGGGATTAGTTGATCAAATTTTGGTTATAAAAAAGGTTGAATTTGATGTTTAGGTGTTTTTTTTTAACAAGAAAAATATCTTTAAGTTGTTTTTGGGCTGTTATGTTGACATAAAAAAATAGATTATGATTGAGAGATTTTTTTTATTTGATTTTGTGTTTTTAAATTGATTTAGGGTTTTTATTTAAGAATTAGTTTATTGAGACTATGAGATTATTTTCTAGGTGTTTATATGTGAAAACAGGTGAGAAATTATTGTTTTATGTCCAAAAATCCCTAGCCGAATTCTCTCTCTCTCTCTCTCTCTCTCTCTATATATATATATATATATATATATATGAAATAAATGAATGGCATATTATTTATCCAAATAAAAAAATTAAAAAAAGATGGAGAAGCGTGGGCTTAGACTGAATGTTTAAAGGTCTGGGCATGTTGGGTATCCCAAACCAGTACGGTTGACCTTTTTTAATATTCTTACAACATTTTAAAATTAATTCATTCTAAATATATTAAGTATATTATTTTATTAAATTCTTAAATTAATTAAGAACATATTTAGATATTATATTATTTAATACTGTTCAATTTTACTATGTCTTCAAATAAAATTATATTATTAGCAAATATTTTTTTGTACAACCCATCATTAATCATTTTTTTAATTTTATTTGTTTGCTCTACCTGCAAGTTTTTATTTTATTATTATATAACTAAATAAAAAATAGTTTTAAGAAAATAAAGTTATCAAATATAATTAGATCCATGACTCGGATCATGAATTTAGTAAGTTAACTTGGATTTATTTGATTTGATTTAATATGTCACTATATCAATATTTTTTTTAAAATATCATCTTTAATTATTTTTAGCCAACATATATATATATATATATATATATATATATATATATCCAGGTTAATTAGGTTACATAAAATCAATCTCTACATAATTTAATTTAAAACTCAAGTAAGATAAAGAGTTTGTTTATGAGATTTTAAGATAAAATTGTTGGGTTAGATTTAACGACACTGCTAAAGAGTTCACCGTAACAACAAGCAAGCATTTTATTATTTTTATGTTTTTAATACACCCACATTAAAATTATCATAATGTTATTTAAAAAAAAAAAAGAGAGTTGCTTTAGAATAATGATAAAATGTTTTCTAAGAAACAAATATTCTCATAAAAAATTTCCAAAAAAATAGCATGTTAATGAGATAAGAAGTTTTAGCTAGAATGATATTTTTTATCTAGAATTTTGTGTGTATATATTTTCAATGCCTTCTATTTTTATTAAGTAAATAACATGGGCAAGATTTTTAATTTTTTTTAGGTTGAAATAAAAGATATTAATAAAATTATTAATATTTTTTTTAATTTTATCACTTACTATTTAATTTCATATATATAATCTTCAATCTATTTAATAAGTGCATGCATCAGATTTTGAGTTAATAACAATATTCTTTTTACTACTGAAAAAAAAATTAGCAATGTTGTCTAAATATTTTATTTATTCAAAAAATTTTAATCCTATATATAGCTTAGTGCGGCCAATGATGTAGTCAATCCCTAATTAGAAAGATATATCCTTTACTTTAGTGTGTGTGTATTAAAGTACAAAATTCAAATTGTAGATAAAATAAAAATATTTTAAATGTTATAATATTGTCTTTTTTATAGAATTTTTTTAAATTTTCTCATCATTATTTTTAAGCGAACATGAAAAGGGGTTATTTTAGAAAATTAAGGCATGTGTTAAATATAGTCATATTAATTATTATAGAAAATAATAGAGAGGAAATAATAAGTCATAAAATTAGAATAATTCATTATCCATATATATATATATATTTGTATGTATGTATATATTGTACACAACATAAATGATTGGTGGCAGATCGAGGGCTCCTGTCATTAATAAAGTTTTTTTTTTTAATTTTTTGAATTCAAATATATAAAAAACATTTAAGAAAATTTATTAATTTTTTTTACACAAATTAGTTCAGATGCTCTTATTGTAGAAATGTTAAAAACATTTCTTAAGTGCATGAATTGCAATAAAAAAGAAAAAAAAAAACATTTCTTAAGTGCATGAATTGCATACCATGCATGCGAACACGTTATCTAAGCATTGAATTTTTTTGTTTCTCTTCCGATAAATTAAATCGTTGAAGTAATTAAAATGTGACATCAAGAACCATTAAAATCCAATACTAGTTGGCAGCACAGGATTAAATAGCGGCAAGCATGGAGCCCAGAAGCCACGCAAATCCCTAGATATTTTCTGCAGGAGACACTTCAGGGGATTAACCTAGCTTACTTCAAATGTCAATAACACCCTACAACTAGCAAGAAATGAGCTTTTAAAACTGAATCAGCTCCACTGATTTTTCCATGGAAAGTACTGTCAGCTTGTCAATATTGATTTTTCCTTGGAAAGGTGACCCCAATTCCAGAATTTGTAGATATGATCTTAATTCGTCATAATTAGTTAACAACTGTGCTGTTGATGCCTGATGGACATGGCAAGGGCCGAAGTAGCAAAATGTCCTGGCAAGCGCGGAGAAGAGTTAAAAGGATACTATGCAGGAAAGAGTTACAGGAAAATCAAGCTTTCATAGCTAGATTCTATTTACCTAATTTTTCTTTTCTTTCATGAAAACGTACAACATCTGAACACATATATAGCTTCATAGATCACAGAGTCATTTTATGACGTCTGCCACTAGTACTACATAATTTGTATCGATCTCGTGTTGAGGCCATTAGTTCAAGAGGCTTAAAGTACTCAAGGACCTGGTGGGAGAGACTTTTGGCTGTGGGGATTGAAGGGTTGGAAAAGAGTGTACATACTTGCAGTTGGGGCAAGAAGGAGAGGATTTGGAGAATATGACAAGAAGATGGCAATTCAAGCATGCCAAAGCTACCATGTTGCTGTTGCTTGAGGCATGGTTCTTGTTATTAGAATCTTCAAGTGAACTATTGGAGCTGCTGCATTCATCAGGACAGTTTGGAATTGTCGATGACATATTGAGCTCAAGGTCTAGCTTTTGGTTCTTGGGCCAGTTCCAACTCTTTCTCAGTGTTTTTCTGTTCAGATAATACATTCTCCCTGACTGCAAAAACCACAATTTTAGGAAATATCAGACTTTGAATTGACAACAAAGCATACGTACTTCATTATCGAAGTCTTTAGGCATTAAATTATGACATATCAGCATTTTTATAGCTAGGAAATTGTACACTAGAGCAAAATTTAGACAGTGATCTGTGTGCGTGTCAAGCAAACAATATACAGAAAGAAAGAAAGATATATACTTCAAGATCAAGGCATTGCTCCCAATCCAACGGTAGCGGGTCTTTAACATGAAGGTCGACACTTGCTTGGATTGGTGGTCCATTTTTTAGCAGCTGATACTGATCAGAGAAGAACTTCCTCTTCCTGGAAGAGGTGTTTTCAGATTCTGATGACGACGAGCTATTCCTACTTTTTTCGAGAACAAACTGTGCTGGAGCTAACGACAGTTCTGTGAGTTCCATTTTACGTATATATCCACCGAAATTTTTGGCTCCCTTTTCAGTACTTCCCTTCTACTTCGGCCCTGTAACTTGGCTCTGCATCTTTTAAATCAATTCTCGAAGTTGAGGGAAGAGATAAAGAGTGAGATGAGTGGCAAGACGAGAGCCGATGGAGGAAACTTTGCAAAGAAACTGATGGTGCAGGCAGAGAACATCCCCACTCTTCTCTCCTTTGGGTTTGCAAGAACAGGATTCATGCAGGAGAGGCGTGTCTACTAAAGAGGGTCCTTCAATTGCTTCAGTCATGCCACTTATTAAGAGGAGGGCAGGCGAAGCATTAAAGGTGGCAAGTAGATGCCAACTTTAATGCCCCAAAATCCAACTCTCCCTTTCTAAACATTTAAAACGAACCTACGCATGATCGATACCTGAAATCCAATTTCATGGCCGAGTTAATTTCTCTATTTTAAGTCCACAACTAACTATTGTATTCTAATTCTTAGGTTATTCTGTTTCTTTTTATTTTAAAAATGTTTTTAAAAAGAATTTAAATTTTTTTACTTCAAATTAATATTTTTTAATATTTTCAAATAATTTTAATGTGTTAAAATAAAAAAAATAATTTTTTTAAAATAAAAAATAATATTTTAATATATTTTCAAATAAAAATTACTTTAAAAAATAACAATAATCACATCTTCAAACAAAATCTATATCTATTTGAGGACTCAAGGTTGCAAGCTGCCAGACTTTTAATTAGCTAGTCCCATTGCCCAGATGCATAAATTTAAATCCAAAATCTCTTAATATTTTGACTTCTCGATTAAACAGAAAATATAACATCTATATCGAGAAAATGAAAATCATTTCGGAAAAGGAAAAATTATTTTGGAAGACATTGTACACCCTCGGAAAGTTTGATTTTTCCAAAAGAGAAGCATGCCCTTCACAAATACTAACATTGCAGAACCTAAACTACGAGGTTTGCTTCTATATAGAATAATTTGAATGTACATAATTTTATGTTACAGTTTCGGATTGTCCTAGCTTTCCTGACGGTAGGTGTAGCATGTTTAATATTGTAGTATATAATATTTTTTTAAAAAATATATATATATATTAAACTGGTTTGGCTCGTTAATTTGGTATGATTTGACTTTTTTAGTTTAGTTTGATTTTTTTCTAATTTAACTTTTTTTTTTTTCAGTTTGAATTCGATTTGATTTTTTAATTTTAGACTTATAAAAACAAACCATTTAGTCTTTTTAAAGTTTTAATTATTTTTTTAAAATTTTAATTGGTTTAATCGATATTTTGATTTTTTTAATTATTTTTTTATCTTTTAATTTAATCAGTTTTTAATTTTTTTAGTCACTCCTACATCAATTGGTTGAAACAAACTCGTATTCACATAAACTTAGAATTAATGGTTTATACTTTACATCCATCACTAATTTCCCAAACATTATTGCTGCGTAATCTCTTACTTTTCTTCTCATGGCTAGCTGGACCCATAATTCATTACCTTTTGCCCTAACCCTAATAATACGAATAATATGTATGCAGTGAATGAGGAAGCACGAAACGGCATGTTTTCATACGAACAGGATGGCAGTTGTATAACGTACGCATGATTTAAAAATTGCATGCAGTACTTTGGTATCCGACAATTTCTAGGTTCCAACGTTAATTTAATCTCATTAGTATTTATCATGGTCACTGACAAAGGAAATATATCATTAATTAGCGTGTAGCGCGCGCGCGCACACACATATATATATATATATATATGTATAAATCACAGTGAAACACATGGGATGGTTTTTTTTTTTAAAAAAAAGGTATATATGAACAAATCAATTATGGACTCAAACAAAAATAAATTTTAATTTAATTATTGAATCAGATTAAAATTTTATGTTTATGTATACTATTTAGGCCATGAAATTATTATTCAGAATTTTTTATTTTTCTTATTTATTTTACTTTTAAAATTATTTAGTTTATAATAGATTCTATGTTACCTATATAGATTATAATAAGAATTCATTTTCTATAAATACTAGGATTTGAGTTAGTGGCTAATTCATTTCTAGAACAAATTACAATTATTGTGGTTTACAGTTTATTAAATTAGAATTTTCTCTGAGTTGTAATTTTATAATACGTAAAATACTGTTTTTTTTTCCTTACTATATCAATCCAACATTCCTGTATCATCTCATCTAGTTAAGCACACGATATTAATTAATAGGATTTTAATCACCTAATTAATACTGCATAGAATTTACTTAATCACCACATTGTTAGCTAGGAGTGATGATAATTAGTGGAGGGATTAAGAGCTGGGAATTAACAAGTGTGATGTTCTGAGCGATCTTGAGCTGTTCCAACAAACAATAATAAATAACAGAGCGCCTCTCACTCGGTTGTTGGGGCATGAACCCTATTTAATGGTGTTTTTAATGTTTCCTTCATGACCTGTACCGACAACCTTTCCCCTTCAAAGTATTGAATTGAACACCCCAGCAGCATTGGATTAATGGCCGTCCTGTCTTTGGATAATATTTTAAATGTTTTTTATTTAAAAATATATTAAGATAATATTTTTTATTTTTTAAAAGTTATTTTTAAATTAGAACATTAAAATGATATAAAAAATTAATTTAAAAAAATATAAAAACTTTAATTTTTTAAAATATTTTTAAAATACAAAAACAAACACTATATATAATTTCTCATGCTACACATGCCTACCCCTGAGCATGTAATGCCCCTTCTCCACCTACCGCTATGCCATGCAATATATTTGTGGTTAAATGCATCTAATCTTGAATGCTAGCACGCTTTTAGTTTTCTATTAACTACTAGCTAGTCCTTTGATTCAATTTTTAATTTATGTTTTCTGTTCTTAAAAATTATATTTATCTGTTTGTTTTTTTCAATAATATAAAAGGTCAACAATCGATTGCCAATGTTAATTTGCAAAAACGAAACAAAATGGTTTTCAAAGACTATTACGATTGTTGTTGAGTTTACTTTAAAGAAAACCAAAACAAATAAATTTATATTTATATTTCCTAGAATTTGAAAATTGAAACAAAAAATAGATAATTCTATTTACTTTTAAGAAAATCAAAGCAAATAACTTCTTCTTTTTTCCCTTTGAAAAATTAACTTTTTTTACTTGATAATTGGGCCATGCTACATTCCGGAAATGAAAATGGTAAAGGAATAAATTTGGATTTGGCTAATTCATTTTAAAAAGCTTGAGTTGTATTTTCAATGACCGAATCTCATGTTTTTTTCTGAGAGTTTAT